GGGGGGGGGGGGGGGGGGGGGACTGTGATTATTCTTGAAGCCTGATTTAATCCCTGCATACGAAAATTTTCCGTTTTCAAGTAACTATTGCAGTGTGCAGTTTAAGTTTCGTGAATATTAATTTTTCTCTCAGAATGATTTTTTCCATCTCTTACGAGTGTCAAATTATGTTTAGTAAATGCGTTTCTAATTATTGAAACAATATTAAAATGCCTTAGAAACGTGGTAATGCCATACGGATCATTCCTATGGATATTTTGAGTTAGTAAACTTAGGCGGTGTTTTCTCGCTCAGTACCATGGTCTAACTTATACCTCTGGAGATGAAAATTCAAACAGCCAGGATTGAGTCAGTACTGGGAGCCGAGCTGTTGAGTTTTCGTTGCCGATCCTCAATCGTCCTTGGCCCAGCCTCGGCTAGCTATTGGTTTGACAACGTTGGTCCGATATTAGTTGCCAAGCGTCGGCCGGTGATTGACGTCATAACCGACTCAATATTTATTTTTAATAGTTTAAAAAATTCATTAATACATTATTGTTTATTTTGTAATTTACATTCTTCGCTGATCCTCCCTAAAGAAACCCACAACTGCCGATAATAATGAGTGAACAGTTGGACGCATCGGGATTCGATCCTGGAACCTTCAGGTAGCTAGTCTTTGACTTTGCTCACTCGACCACCGCAGAGTTATTAGTTAGGAAGTTTATCACTTTATGAATGAAATAGTGCATTTCATATTTGATTCACTAATTTTCTTTAATTATAAAACTCAATGTAGATATGGTGAAGTCTATTTATTAATCATAATCAATAAATAATGAGTTTACACCATTTCTAAGAATGGAAATGAGTTAATTTGTGTTTATGGAAAATGGAAAATGAAGATCCTTATTTTCCTAGATGAAATCCAAAATTTTACATTCTCCTAATTATTTCCCCCGTTTGACCGTCATCATAATTTGACCCTTATAAGCGTTAATCCCTTAAGACCTCCAGTTTGAACCTTATATGAATCTTATGATCGTTTGACCCTTAACATGTGTTTACGCGTTTTCCTGTAGGATTCATTCGACTCCTATGATCATTCGACCGTTTAAAAAGTTTCCAACCCGTAAAAGTAGCTTTGTAACTACCCTTAATTGATCCTCATGACCATTGTATTTGGTCCATTGTATTATTGCGCTCAGTTTCCCGTGCTAGTCAGTGATAGAAATATTCTGGAACTTTTACGTACTCTCAGTAAGTGAAAAGACGTTGAAGGCTATCATACCCTAGGTGGTATGGTAGCTGCATTAAAAAATCAGAAAAATAAATGATAAAAAATATGGAAAAAATAACTGACACAAAAACACAATTCTTGGGAAAAAGCCGAAGCATAAAAAACCCAGATATATTTACTTCGATACAAGATTTAAACGATTAACTGCGAATGACGTTATTCACACACACACATGCATCCACACATCAATGTTTGTCTAGGAACGCATAGGCGAACTGTCGACTGAATATGTAGACACACACGCGCACTGATAAATTACGATAGGATAAATCCCACACTGAATGTTCACGTGGAATAAGTTAGGATTGCGCAATTTAATAATCACGACTTCGATATCGTGGCTTCGGTGCCACGTGTGACACGAAACCGTTGGATTTCGTGTCTTAGGTTAAGATTTTTGATTGATAGCTTTTAGATTTTTTCGTCACTATAGTTTGTGAACGAAAACGATTGATTGATCGATGGTTTCTTTCGGATGATTATTTTTGTTGATTATGACAACGATAAAGTCAGGATGACTTGTCAAATGATTGATTTGCAGTTGCAAACGATTCACACACTTGTAGCGTCGGTTAGACTCTGACATCATCGAGCGTCCCCGCATGCTCGGACCCGCCAGACTGGCGCATGGTGGCGCCGCCACCCATTGTCGCCAACATACCAAGCGCGGTTATATTCAAATACATGTTATGATGGAACAGTAAGGATGTGCAAAAATTTTTTGATACGTCAGATAACCGTCACATGACAGATGCCAGTTCTAACAATTTTTGTCATATGACCAAATTATGACGGCATTAACATATAACCGTCATATTCCAACGAAATAGATCATGATCACTCTTCAATTTTATGGCATATTTGGTGACACAAATTCTATGTGACCGTCATATCCCATCTAAATAGGAATAAATATGTCACTTTCTAAGTTCCTAATGGTTTCTCAATTTTATGCCATTTTTTGTTACATAGATTCTGTATGATTTTCATATTCCTTCTAAACAGTAGTGAAAATTTTAAACTATTAATTATGATGAAAAAAATATGACGTCACATGATTGTCATATAACGGTCATAAATTTACCATATAACGAAAAAAAAACATGGTCATTTTGACATCCCTAACTCTCCAAAAAGATTTGATATATCAATCACTAGTTGGTTTTTCAACAGTTCATTATTTTTTTTGGGAAATAGGAAAATTTCTGAAAATTTTCTGATTGACAGTGAGACAACCTCGACGTTATAGCTGAAGCGCTTACAAAAAAATTTAAATTTAATTTCTTTTCTTGAAGCTGAGATCTAGAAAAAATATGAAAAAATTCCCGATGATGCAGCATACTCAAATATTTCTCCCATAGATTTTTCTTTTTTTTCCGAAATAGAACCGAAATGAAAAAAATTAACTATGGAAAAAATCCCTCTCCTCAATTATCTTCGTCGTTTGATTAATTGAGACATTAATTTAATTAGCGAGGTGTCCTGCGAAAGGAGCCGAGAGGAAATTCAAAAGAATGAAAATCCTGGAGCCCCGTAGCAGAGTCATTTAACAATGGACCAACTCCTGACGTTGCCCAGGGGCAGTCTTTTCTGCTTCCTTTGCCCCCAGCGGCGTGTCTCCCTCTCTTGAATCGGTCGGCTATTGTTGCCGGTTAATTAAGGGAATTGATGGAAGATTAAGAGGACTCTCTCGTTTCATGCCCTCACGCTGCTCGATCACTCTCGGCTGGTTCCTCTCTCCTTCCTCACGACTCCCCACCTGCTTTTCGCCTTTTGAAACGTCAATCGATCGACAATGCATTGTCGGAGAGATATCTGGAGTCTTGTCGCACAATCAGAGTGAATTGAAGAGATCTCAAAGAGTCTGAGTTCAAGAGGAAAACTGTATGACAACGGTATGACAAATTCGTGTTCATGAATTTATTAATCATATTTTGCCCCCGAATGGAAGCATTCCCAGTAAACATTGGGCTCACAATTTGCTGGCAATTTGCTTGCTAATTTTCCGCAGTTTCGGAATAAAAATGTCAACATAATGACGACAAAACTTTCCGATAACTCGTCTATTATGCATCAGCAAGTTATCGTGAGAATTATCCGTAAATTTGCCGATAAGTTTGCCATCGAAAAGCAGACAAAATAAAGCCAAATTTTTGTACAAAATTTGATGACAAATCTTCAACAAACGAAGGGATTGTTTTGCTTTCAAATATTGTCATTATTTGTCGTCTAATTTGCTGATATAGTTGAAGGGTGGGGCAAAGTTGATGTCGGGCTTAAATTTGTTAAATGGTGATTTATTTGAGGGTTACGATCCCGTGGTTATCTACCGATTATCTACCGAGCAACAATGCAAAAATGCCATTGTTCCACTTTGGCCCACCCCCCTTCAATATCTTATTATGAACAAAATTTGTCAATATTGTGATTAAAGCAAATTCAAGTAGTGGTATATCGCGGGAATACTGCGTTCGATTTTGAACTCTCTGGAGTTGTAAGTTCCAGAGATCTGACCTATACAGAACAATATTTGCGATAATTGTTACACGCCGAGGTATTCTTTGTGTAACTGTTTGTTAAGATGAGGAAGGATTCGATGAGAGGAAATGTTAGAGATGAGGAGACTTGGGTGGTTGGAGACTTGGAATAATCACTGACGATTCTAACAGTTAATGTCGTTTTATTTTATTTTAACAGTTAATAGATGATACAAGAGTACCTCCGTTGAGGTGTTTTCTTTGCGAGGTAGAGATCGATACTGATTAAAAATATTAAAGTTGAGGACAAGTTGGAACTTGAAAGTAGAAGGGATAGAAAAGTGGAGGAGGAAAAATGGTTTTCTGAATTTGCAAATGATTGGTTAAAAGGACCTGTGATGGGAGGGACAATAATTATGATTGGACAGGTGTCGTGGAAAATTTAGAAGTGCAGGAAGTACGGAGAGAGGGAGAGATTGGCGCATCTTGGGCCTATTCCCCAATAAAGGGCGTCTGGGCGAAAATATTGAGGGACCGTGGAGGGTCGAGCGCAATAAAATGGAAAAGAAGCTATAAAGTAATTTAAAAATACAAATTTTTGAGTTGAATGAAGGGATTAGGACAATTTCTGGCAGTGATTAAATTTCTGAGAAATGTCCTTTACAAAATTTTGTTCAATAAAATAATTTAAGAGAGTCTAGAGGAGATATTTAAGAAATATTTTGAATGAGTTTACACATTTACAATTTGTCGAAAGGACGGAACTGAATTGAATTAAAATTCTACGAAATACCTTTGGGAAAATTATTTGAATGGAGACGGGAAAAAATCTAAGAAAATGTCTCAAAATAATTAAATATAGAAAAAATGTAATTTCGCGTGTTTTGACACGCAACATACTCCCCCGTTGAGAGCTGTGCGATCAATTACTTGTTAAAGTTGTTGGAGTCTATGGGTAGTGGTGCCAGGCGTCGAACATTCCGATCTACTTCTCCAGTAGATGTTCCTACCCTGACCTTCCTGATGATGTTGTCATCCGATGGGTAGACCTCGATGACGCGGCCCATGCGCCATTTGAGAGGAGGGAGGTTGTCATCGCGTAAGAGCACCATTGCTCCTATGTTGATGTGGTGATGTCCGGAAGTCTATTTGTGGCGAATGTTGAACTCAGAGAGGTATTCTTTGTGCCATCGGTTCCAAAAATGTTGCTTGATTTTTTCGAGATGCTGCCAGTAAGAGAGTCGATTGCTGGGTGTTTCTGTCCAATCGGGTGCAGGGAGATCTGTGCTGATGTCTCCATGTAGGAAGTGGGCAGGAGTGAGTGCGGTGAAGTCGTTGGGGTCAGATGATAATGGAGTAAAAGGTCGTGAATTGAGGATTCCTTCAATTTTCACACAAAGAGTATTAAGTTGTTGATGAGTCAACAACTCATTTTCGATGACTTTCTTCATATGTTGTTTGCACGATTTTACGGCAGCTTCCCAGATGCCACCGCAGTGAGGAGATACACGGGGAATAAACTTCCACTCAATTCCCTGTTCAGCAAGATGACGGTTGATGAATTCATCGTGCCTTTCAGTGTTGAGAAGGGCGTAGAGTTCTTGTAACTCTCTATTGGCACCGACGAAGGTTGTGGCGTTGTCTGAATGAAGAGTTTTGCAGGAGGGATGTCTGGAGATGAATCGACTGAGAGTGGCCAAAAATTCTTCACTGGTCAAATCATTGACCAGCTCGATGTGTACTGCCTTAGTGGTGAAGCATACAAATATGCAAATCCAGATTTTGATTTTCTTGAGATTGCGATGTCTCCTTTCCTTGATGAGAAATGGACCACAGTAGTCTATTCCAGTGTTTGTGAAGGGTTTGGCCTGCGTGATACGTGTACTTGGAAGATCAGCCATTGGATAGTTCACAGGAGGTGGATTCACCCTGGCACAGCTGATGCATTTATGGATAATGAATCTCACTTGACTACGTCCATCAATAGGCCAGTAGCGTTGCCTGAGAAGATGAAGAGTGGTTTGAATGCCAGTGTGTAGATTGGTCAAGTGAGTCTTCTTGATAAGGAGATGGGTGACGTGATGACCTTTGGGCAATAAGATAGGATGTCTACCATCCAGAGGAAAATTGCGAGCCTTTCTCAACCGTCCGCCAACTCGAATGAGTCCATCCTCATCAAGCTTCAGGCTTTTGGGCAGGTTTAAGTACCAAGTACATCAAGCAGTCTAGGGATCCGAAAGTAAACATTTGCTCAACAGGGTGTCTCAAAATATTCGGCGAAGTCATTAAGGGGTGAAAAAGAATGACATGATGAGTCGAAAGGTCCTCTTCGATTTTTTGCTCCGAGCATTAATTCAAGAGTTATCAACTAATTAGACTGTTGATAATTTTGCGATTGAATCACCATTTCAGTAGCGAAGAAAGTTTCCGTCCCAAAGATTGAGATAAAGTGCAGAATTTATTTGAATTTTCTACACAACTGGAGGATTTTCTCGAATTCTTTAAAAACCAAGAAGTATCCTCAAATTTACTGTAAAACCAGAGAATTTTATCGATTTTTCCAAAAAACTGGAGAATATTTCTCGAATGTCCTCGAAAACCTCGACACCTCGAAAGCTCCGTTTAAAAATGCGAACACAAAATAAAGACACAAAAACTTTAATATCTCGGAAACAAGATGCAACGAAGTAGACTCTTTTCATGTGGACGTCCACATTAATAGACGACAATTGCAATAGAATTGTTTATTTCGGCTTTTTATTAATAAGTTATAATATTAATCGAAACATACAAATCTGTCCCACAACACACCCTCTTGGAAGAATCCATATCTTTCCTTTCATTTGGGATAAATAGAATACTAATTAGTCCACTAATTGACTCTCTAACTGCCGACAACTTAACAGTAAATTGATGTCGAATCAATTGATAATATTATTAGAAATTTAGAGTCAACTTTTATGCAACTAATTGACATTGAATGGTGTGATAATATTGAAATAGAAATCGTCAACATTATCCCTTATTTTGTCGATAAATTGACGGCAAATTTCATCTGAAGAGTTGCGCACATTCAAGTTCGACAATGTACCGTCAATTTTTGCTACTAATTTGCAGTAAGTATTTCCGATAACCTGATGATAACTTTTCTGGGTTATCATCTCCATTTGGGATTAAATTGTCGTCATATTGACAGCAATCCGTCAGCCATTTTGAGGATAATAGTATCCAAGAATTGCTGGTAAATTTTAACTCATCGGACAATTTTGTTTACTGGGTTGAAATCGTTCTATTTTCAGATTCTTTAATTTTGTTTGGAAATGGCGTAGAATAGTCGAAAACTTGAAAATACCTAGGCTGACCACCCTGTGTGTATGCGCGGGTGTTCACCTGGTGGTCAACTTTTAGAAAATTAAAAAATTAAAAAACTAAAATAATTCCAAAAAATCTGAATTTTTGTTAGATTATAGATACTAATGAAAACTAACTTTGCGCTTCATTTCAGCCCAATCTATCAAGCCGTTTTTGAGAAATCGCCATTTGTTTCTAAATCGTTTTTCACAAATATCTCAAAAACTACTCAACCGATTTCAATTTTCTTTTTTCAAAATATTCGTCGCGGTGTCTTCTATCTCAATCAATCAAAATATGTACGGTAGACTCTCGCTAGTTGCACGCTCGTTAGTTGGTCGTTTTCCGCTAATCTCCTTCTCGGACGCTCGAGGGCTGCCCCCCACTCTCGGCTGCCTTATCGGTGTCTTTTACCCTTCGTACGTAAACACAGAGGTCCAAATAATTTCATTTGAAAATAAGATTATTCATTCCCTTTCATTTTTCTGAGAACTTGGGCCGGCATTGGTTGAGGAGTGGGGGCCGGTGGAAAGTTGGTCATTTCTTGGAAATACTACCCCTGCAGCCTGTTCGATAAGCAACTACCGAGAGTCTATTGTATACAAGTTCATACAAAGAAATATCCGAGATATTTCCATTTTTCGGTTTTTCGTTCAAAATTCTTGTTAGCATTCTCACTTTTGCAAAAATCGATATCTTGACTAGTTTTTTTCATTATGGCGATTTGCAGTTCAATATAATAAACTTGAAAACAAAAGAAAATTTAGGGGATCCCGAAGGTGTGAAAGCCATAGACAACACTGGAATATAGCAGTAGAGAAAAGATTATTGGCGAACCTCATAAAAAGTTGCAGTCAGTATAATAGAGAGTAATGCTTTGAAGGCAAAATTCAATTTATAAATGAAAAAATTTATGAGGAGTAGAAGAGTGGGTGGAGAAGTGGAAGCGTGCGTGAACCAAGCGGAAGGCAATTCCCGGGATCGGAAACAACGACACTCCGATAATCTTTCTTCCGCAGTCTTTTTTACAGTTCAACATCGTAATTTATTAAAACTAGACCTGTGCGCGCGCTTCCCCGCACGCTTATCTATTCGTTGTGAATATGAAGAAATCGGATTTATTAAACTTCATATACTCATCAATGTTTTATAAATATTGATAATGACGTGAAGAGAATTAAGAGAATGAAGAGTGAAATATCAATGAATAATTTTTAATCTTCGATTAATTCTTTTTTTTACTTTTCAAAATAATGTGATTAAAATCTGTAATTGTTGAAAAATAAGGGGAGGGTTATGAATTGATTTCCTAGAAAACAGAAAAAATTTATTAAATTCTTCGGAAAATTTCAGTTTTCCAGATAACCATAGATCTTCCAAAATTTTTCTCGAACTATTCGGGAAACCGAAGAATTTTCATGAATTTTGTAGAGTTTAGGATTTATGTACGAAAATCTGAGAAGCAAGAATTGATCATTTTTGCGTATAATAAATATGAAAAAATTAAAATTTGGAAAGTGAAGGATAATTTGTGAATTAAAAAATTTAGAAATGCTGTTTGTTTTCTCATGATCAACAATTAGGCAATTTAGATATGTTTTGATATAAAGATACACTTCACACATAAAAAAACGACAAATATGACGCAGAAAATTTTTTTGGCATTTGAATTTGAAAATAACGGGGATTTTTTTCAGCGACTACTTCACGTGACTCATTGACCAATCAGAATTCAGGATTAGCGGTCAGGGAGTTTCGAGATATTCCGATATTAAACAACTTTACGTTTCTTTCATCTCAGGTAAATAGGATTCATAACTCAAAACACAGGAGACACAAGCGCATGAAATCCGATGCTCAAATCATGAAAAAAATCACGATGTAAAGCCGCAAAAACGCGTAAGGAATTGGTTATTCCTCCTCGTTTAATCGTAAAAATTGGTGTAACATAGAGTGGTTTGTACATTTGCAAAAATTTTTCCTTCTTGATTCCAGTTTATATTATTGATTAGTGAAAAATTACGATTACGATTTTACGATTTTCGATAACATCGAAATTACGATTTTCGACAACATCGAAATTAAGGCAGTATTTTTTCGTGCAAGAATTGATCATTTTCGTGTGCAACATTTCACCAGGACCTCCACCTCCCCCACCAAGATCACCTGGGCAGCATGCCAGTGCGCTCGCCTTATCGACTCCCCAGCAACACAAAACGGGGTCACATCAATTGCCAGCTCCACAATTGCAGCTTTCCCAAGAAAACAGAACTCATCAAAAACTTGCACCTTGAAGCTTCTATGAATAAAATTTCATTCATTAGGTGCTTTAATATTGATCAGCCCCAGCTCATTGTTTCAGCCCATCCGACCGTTCCATTCTCAGGTATTAATTTTTAATATTCCCCGATGACTTCAGAGAAATAGTTTCGCGAATTAAAAAGAATTTTTAATATATATCCTGGTATCTATTCATCTCCCCCTGGAATATTTGATGCAGTTCGTGGGAAAAAGTGAGTGATACAGTGAATATAAAAGCACTGAAAGGCCCCAACGCCCTTTTTCAAAGTGCACAGAAGGAGCAAACTCGTCCTGAAGTGCTCACAATGCTCAAACGATCGCTCAGACTTCTTGTGAGTTTCCCCGAGGTGATGAATGCAGCAAATCACCAATGGAAGATGAGAAATTCATAACTTCGGTTCTTAGAAGCTTTTTCATGTCTTGGGAACTTATTTGATCCGTAATTCTGAAAAAGCGAGTCTACAATCAAAAAAGTGATTATTCAGGACATTCCCAATAGCGATATTGCCTACAAATTTTCTTCATGAAGAAATCATTCAAATGGATTCTTTAGAATTCAAAGAGCTCAATAGGTGAGGATTTGTCAGGAAAACTTGAAAAATTTCACAAAAAAAAAAATTTGCAAAGTTCTACTTTAAATTCAGACATAAATTGGCATAAATAATCGAATAAAACAGATACAAGTGCGACTCAATGATAGTAACTAGTAGTAAAAATTTGACATTCTTATTCCAACTTTAACATGTATTACGGCACGTCACATTAACTATCCTATAAAAAAATTAGAAAAACGCAAATATCTTGAAAACTTCTTATCAACGGGTACACATATGTGGATTGATCTCCATAGAGAATATTAAACCGAGTATGTTAAAAAAATTATATCTAGCCAGAAGTTTAGGAAATATATTACGTAAAATATTTTCACAAAAAGCTGAATATCTTCTAAAATACTCATCCGATTTTTGCCCATCCTATAAAAGCTGTCAAAAAGCTGAATATCTTCTAAAATACTCATCCAATTTTTGCCCATCCTATAATATCACGTGAACTATAATTTTACCAAATTTCAACTTTCTATCAATTTTTTCTGGACTTAATGTGTACAGTCGAGCACAAAAGTTCGTGAACAGCCTGAACTTGTATTCTAAGTATTCTGTTTACGAATTTTAGTTCTCGACTGTATACAGAGTGAAGTCAGTACCTTGTTTACAAATTTCGGGTAGATATAGAATAGAAAATCGGGAGT